TGTGGTTTTGCATGCGAGGCTCTCAAACTTGTTTAATAAAATGGTGCGTCAAATGACAATTTTAACAGAACTTGGTAATTTGCATATTTCTTTGAAATAAAAGGATATTTTGCCAAAAAAACTATCCAGTAGTTTTTGTCATGCCCTAGCCTATCTACCATAAGAATATGAGCAAAATCGAATTTTCGACCCTTGCCGAGTTATTTTCCATTTTTATGGACAGGGACTCTTAAGTGGTTCAATTTGTTTTTGTGGGCTTTGTACTTAAGCTCACAAGAAGTAGTGGGTGATCGAACAAGTTTTTTGTACAGTCTGTTCTTCTTGTTAATGGACTTTAAAAGACCACGGCTGAGCCATGGAGTGTAAGACTTGTTCATTTGTTTACCTTTGATTATTTTCAAAGGGAAACAGACTTCATAAATTCTTGAGAATTCACTTATAAAATTGTTGTAATCTTTATTCGGGTCATCCTCATTGATAAATAAAGACCAATTTGTGTTTGAAAGGATTTTGTTGAATTTTTCCAAATTAATAACATTGATTGTGCGAGAGGGAATTTTCTTTTCTCTTCTACGTGTCTGAGTTTCGTTATCAAAATAGGTGGTGAAGACCGGTAAGTGATCAGATAAATCATTTAGGACGATATCATTGAAAACATTTTGTGAGAGATTGTTAGTGAATATATTATCAATTAGTGTTGCAGAGTAAGAGGTGAGGCGAGTTGAATTTGAAATAAGAGGGAAACATGCGTGCGAAAATAAGCTGTCAATAAATTCCTGAGTCTGTACATGATGGTTGCACTGAAGAAGGTCTAAATTAAATTCTCCCATCACATGACATTGTTTATTGTCTTTAGTGATAATTGTGAGAATGTTATTGAATTTCTCTTGAAACAGGGCAGTGTTTCGATTTGGTGGTCTGTAAACACAACCGACGATAATGTTTTTCCCTTGGGGGACAATGATTTCGACAAAGATAGACTCAATTACTTCTGGATCAGTAAATTTTCATTCCTTAAGAATTTTGTATTAAATATCGTTCTGGAAATAAATGCCAACTCCACCGCCTATTTTTGATTTTTGATGATTGGAGACAATTGTATCCTGCAATATGTACAAGCTCTGAAGTGGAATCGGTTAGCCACGTTTCTGACACGTCAAGAACAGAGAATGACCTTTCGAGATTTAAGAGTAGAAGATTTAGTTGATCAAGATTTTTCAACAAGCTGCGGGCATTTAAATGCAAAATAGAAAACATCGATTTCTCATTAAAGGAACTAACCTGATCATTAATATCTTCCTTGACTATATATCTGCTAGTTGGTAGGCAGGTAAAAAAGTTTGAATCAGGGTTAAGATCATTTGAGAGTGGATCAGATAAACTGGGTGTATAGCTTGTCAACCTCCTCAGGCTTCCTTTCTTTTGACCATGTTCAAGATCCCCCACTGTGAAGCTTCTGAAATACAGAAGAACGATATGCATTTCTGCTGTGAACCAATGAATTAAATAAATTGGTCATGCTACCTTCAGTGATTTTGCACCATGATTTAATATAATTATATAGATTACTTCATGGTTGGTGAGCGCGTACGATTTTTATTCACAAGCTGTGAAGAATCGCAAACGAACGAGCGAGTCTTTGAGCGAGTGAGTTTGCGATTCTTCACAACAAGTGAATAAAAATCGTACAAGCGAACTAACCATGAAGTAATTTGTTTATTATATTAGTACTGAGATATTACAAGTGTTTGTAACTTTAAATCACAGTCAACTGACCACAAAAGACAAAGAAGTCGCTAACTCGATTTTGCTTTTATTTAGACCCAGTCAATGCTGTTGACACCTAAAATACTGAATTCGAATATGCTTAAAAAGGCAAAACTGCAGTTTTAAAATAATTCATTTCAAGAAANCGCTAACTCGATTTTGCTTTTATTTAGACCCAGTCAATGCTGTTGACACCTAAAATACTGAATTCGAATATGCTTAAAAAGGCAAAACTGCAGTTTTAAAATAATTCATTTCAAGAAAAAGATTACAAAGCCCATTCAAAGAAATTTAGGCTTACTTTTGACATTTGAAGAGTTTCTGAAATATTAGCTCACATTGCATGTATTTATTTTTATTGTAAAATTTTTCTGGGCATGAAATAAAGATTTGTTGTTTTGCTGTTTGTTGTAAGCTTTCAAACTAACAAAGGGTTTCTACTCTGAATCGGAGTCGAGAACTTTTAGTCTTTTGTACCTCTTTGCAGACTTTATCTCAGTTTCTGGAGGTGATTGATTAAGGCTGCTGATAGAGATGTTGAATTGACCACCATGAATAACAGCACTGGTGAAGATCGACATTGCTTGCTGGCCTTGTTGATAATCTGCGGCCGAACTAGCTGAATGAACTGTGGTCGTATAACAATCAGAAACCTGAGATAAATTCAAATTCTCTACATCATGTGCTCTCCCTGTACTTTAAGTTCACTCAAAGTATGAGACATTTTTACTTGCTGTTTTTCAGGAACAACTGAATAATTTGTCACACTTTGAAGGTTTTTGTGTCCCGATAGTTGAATTATTTCGGTCGCCAGGATATCGTTGTTTGTTGAAGCCTGAATCATGGTTTTGCGACCACTATGGTTTTTCACATTCGGTCC